GTTTTTTTGGTTTGACGCGCCGCGTTAAAAACTGGCCGACCAATGAGTTTGGCGCTTTTGTTCACGTGCCTGGAGCTGCTGAAGTTACAGTAAAACACGACTTGGTGGCGCTCAAGCACAAAACGGTCTTGCCGAGCACACATTGATACCTAACGACAAAGAGGAAGTAAGTAGACCAAGAAGATGCATCGAGGCAAGATGAATGTAGAGCTGCTGGTCTCATTGGTGTCTGAACACAAAGGGCTTTATGACAAACGCGACAGCGACTACAAAAATCTAGATAAGAGGGAGTTGTTATGGAGAGGAATTGCAGATAAAATAGGATTCGATGTGGGGTATTTCTGTTTTTCATTAAGCGCCATCTAATGGCAGGGAGTGAATTTGCACGTTCACTCGGCTCATCGCCAGTGAAAATCGCTTGGGTATGAACACACAAGACGCGTCGAAAAACATTGGCGATAAGCGCGCACGATAATCGTCCCGTTGTGCACGAGGCTTAACTCACTGAAATAACAGCTAAAATTGTTACGGGAAAAGCTAAACTATTTTGAAAACAAAAGTGCCACGCTCCTGATGTAGTTTAGTTACTGAAGCTAGTGAAAATGCTACATTCAGTCAGTTATCACACACCTGTGATGCAGGGATGCTCGGTGTGGTCTTACACTCCGCCAGACCCAGACTGTCTGTGCCGTGACTCTCCAGACACAGGCCGCCCTGCTTCAGGAGACTGTACGCCGCTTCCTGCTCGGGGATTCTGACAAACACAAGCAAGAAAGACAAAATACATTCAGAACGGACTTGAGAGTGTTAAAGACAAAGTCCAGGTTTGTCTGGCAGTCCATCAGAGTCCAGAGACACAGTCTAGTGACTCACTTGAGTTCAGGATACACATTCTCAAGATACCAGCGGAAAGAGTTACAGTTCAACTTCCGTCTTAAAGCAAGCCGATCTGCAATACTGTACAGAGAGACAGAGAGAGAGAGAAGCGGGTTAAAGGAATAGTTCACCCAAAAATGAAAGCAAGAGATGTTTAGTACAATATTCACTGTGTGTTTTCCATATAATGACAGCAGACTGTGACCAGGGGCCGTCAAGCTCCAAAAACAACCGTAAACGAGTCCACACTGCTTGTGCATTGTATTGATCATGGCATATTGTGAGAAAAATACTGAAATGTATCCAGTCAAAAAAATTAAATAAATAAATTTATGACGTATTTGCATATAAAATGTCCATCCATTACATAGTTTTAGTGCTGTCAAACGATTAATTGCAATTAGTCACATCCAAAATAAACGTTTTTGCTAACATAGTATATGTATGTGTGTGTACTGTGTATATTTATTATGTATACAGGTGCATCTAAAAAAAATAGAATATCGTGAAAAAGTAATTTTTTCATGAGCTGTAAGCTCTAATCATCAAAATTAAAACAACAAAATTTTTTAAATGTTTTACTTTACATCTAATGAATCTAGAATATATGAAAGTTTCACTTTTTGAAATAAGTTACAAAAAAAAAGAACTTTTTCACGATATTCTAATTTTTTGAGATGTACCTATATATAAATACACACCCATGCATGTAGAGATTAATCGTTTGACAGCACTACATAGTTTTAATATTAACCAAATAATAAACATGATTAAAATAATGCATATTTTTCAGTAATACATAAATGAAACAGGCCAGATTTCTATACTCAAAAATCATGGCATAATTTATTATTAATTATTTGCATCTATTTGGTTTCAATTAAATAACCATATTTTCAAAATGCATTTATTCAAATTGCTTAGAATCAGCATAAATCTGTGAAAATACTTCAGTTTATTCAGTTAAATAGTATGAACATGGTTAAACATGACTAGCTGTGGAACAAGCAATATTCAATTAGTTAAAATGTAAGAGACTGAAATAAATTTGATTTATTGATGATAAATATATAACCTGGTTATTGTGTAGTTAAAACACATACAGTTAGTAGTACTATCACAGAAATCTGACCTGCTTCATTTATGTATGACTGACCAAAATGCATCACATTAAATATATGAGCTTCTTTAATGTATAAACTGTGTAATCTAAATAGATGGAAATTTTATATGCAATTCAAATACATAAATCTTAAATTTAGAGTCTTGTTATTTGCTGTTTGATTTGCTTCTTGACAAGCCGAGATTGAATATATACTTGAAGTACTTTTATGAAGCTTGTTAGTCTGTTTCATTGTACACTCTTAAAAATAAAGGTGCTTCACGATGCCATAGAAGAACCTTTTTTGTCCAAATGGTTCCATAAAGAACCTTTAACATCTCAAGAACCTTTCTGTGTCACAAAAGGTTCTTTGTGGTGAAAGAAGGTTCGAAAAGGTAAGAAAGAGATGGTTCTTTAAAGAACCTTTGACTGAATGGTTCTTTGTGGACCCAAAAATGGTTCGGTCCCACTTTATATTAAGTGGCCTTAACTACTATGTACTAACATAAAAAAATAAGTACAAATACAGTGGGTACGGAAAGTATTCAGACCCCCTTAAATTTTCTTAACTACTATGTACCTACATCAAAAAATAAGTACAACGTATTTATTGTGCTCATATTGTATTGCAAAACACTTCTGCTGCTATTGAGGTGGGATATGGGTAAGGCCAGGGACAGGTTTGGTGGTATGAGTAGGTTTAAGGGTGGGTCAACAGTGTAATTATAAATGTAATTACAGAAATTAGTTACAGATAAAATTGTATGTAGGTATTTTAATAAATATAAGTACAATGTAAAAGCATGTATGTACACAATAAGTGCATTGCACCAAATAATTAATTTAAATGTAAGTACATAGTAGTTAAGGGTTTCCTTTCCACGGTTATTCAAACAGCGAATAAATTATATATAGAAAGTGACATTATCACTAACATTGATCTATCGCGAGTTTAAGCACTCTCAAAAAAACTAAACTATCGTTATAATCACTGAAGCTGTATACACTGTGAAATGAATCTCTTACTTACATTGTACGTCCATCTGCGCTTTGTTGTTTATGATGAGAGAATTCGCAAGCGTCCGGAATTCAGTCAGCGAACGCGCGCGCACTCAACAAAACTGCTCTGTTTCAACGATGACTCATCTGAACGCTTCTGATTGGCCATTGCATTCCTAAGCTCAACAGAATTGTGTGTGACTGGTTAAAATGCGCAACACTGTAAAAACGCCTACAATGAAATACGGTGCAACATGAGCAGATCTTAATTTAATGCCGCAATCGACACTGTCTATTCATATTCACTTTGTTAGCAACAGACGTAATAGATTTCATTTGTTTTTGCAGGGGCATTTTTGCCCCAAGTCCCCGTGGCCAGCCTTACACACGCTCCACCTATGAGTTAAGGCCACTTAATATAAACTGGGACCAATGGTTCTTTTATGGCATCGCTGTGAAGAACCTTTTAATCACCTTTATTTTAAAGAGTGTATGCAGCTGCATGAGCATTCTTCTAAACATCTCCTTTTGTGTTCCATTGAAGAAAGAAAGTGATGTACTGAAGTACTGAAGATCACCATAACCAGATCTACATAAGGTTTTAGAGACGTCTGACCTCCCGAAGGCCTTGCCCTGCGCTGATGGTCTTGCGGCGTAGTAATACTGTTTATACTCATCCATCCAGACCTCAGCAGCTCTCCGCGAGTTCCTGCAGCATAACAGCCATTCATTCATACACTGCAATGCAAAACATATGATTGCAAGTTACGTAAAGGTCAATTTACTTGATGTAGGTGAGTGCGTTGCCCTCTGGGAAGTCATAAGGATGGCGTTTCCGGAAGACGTGGCCCACGCGACTGCAGGGCAGGATCTCAAGACTGCCGCCACACATCCACACTCTGAACGACAGCTCTACAGCATCACAACAGCAGAGATAGAATTACATTCATGTGTGGAAGTAAACACAGAGACATTCAGAATATTGTTACAATCGTCCTGAATAATAAATATACACAGTACACACACATATATGTCATGTAAACAAAAACTTTTATTTTGGATGCGATTAATCGCGATTAATCGTTTGACAGCACTGCTTTGTATTAGTGCTGTCAAAAGATTAATCGAGATTAATCACATCCAAAATAAACATTTTTGTTTACATGACATATACGTGTGTGTACTGTGCATATTTATTATTCAGGACGATTGAGAAACATACATTTAAAAAAAAAAAATCAAAATATACAAAAAACTTTTGAGGATTTACGATGCTGATGACCGTTGAAATGCGCGGTCACAGTCTTGTGAAAAGGGTCCATTAGTGAGGACATCCACACACTATTCTGTATTCAGCTCTAGGAGTGCTGCATGATCATTGGATTCACTGAATTCACATTCACTGTATGTTTGACACTCGAACACATCACAGCAGAGGAGTAAAATCGTGCATCTGAACATCACTTACCAAAGTTCTCACCACCCCAGATGTCCATGTGAGTGTCATACTGGCCCAGGTGATTAAACCAGCCTTTATCCATGACAAAGATTCCTCCAGCAATCACAGGAGTCCTGCCACAGCAGCGGTTGGTATGGACATGTTATGGGGTTCAAATGTCTGAGACCACGACAGTAATGCTTCTAGTTTTCTAAAAGCTTCTGGGTGCTTGAATTTGTAGGTATTTCATTGCTACAAATTTGCTTCCATTTGATTATTTGTCAAGTCTTTTCTTTGTGTTCAAGATTCTAAAACTTTAAATAGGCTTAAATAAGATTTTAGATTTTCAATCTGCCATCAGACTTTAATGAAGATAGATAGAGAGAGAGAGAGAGACCTGATTGGTTGTGTTGGGTCGTTTCTTGCCATTTTCTGTTCTATAGGAATCTGCTCCCATTTGAAGTGTAAACTCCAGTCAAAACCTGACGTCAGTGGGGAAAAAGTGAGGCGGTTACTTCTGGAATCAACACATGCAGTAAATTTGAATCTGTCAGCAATCAGACTAGTGGTCAACTGATTTTTTTTTTATGGCCGATACCATAAAGTACATATGTGACCCTGGATCGCAAAAGCAGTCATAAGTAGCACGGGTATATTTGTAGCAATAGCCAACAATACATTGTATGGGTCAAAATTATCCATTTATATTATACCAAAAATCATTAGGATATTAAGTAAAGATCATGTTCCATGAAGATATTATGTAAATTTCCTACCGTAAATATATAAAAATGTAATTTTTAATTAGTAATATGCATAGCTAAGAGCTTAATTTGGACAACTTTAATGGCGATTTTCTAAATATTTTGATTTTTTTTTTTTGCACCCTCAGATTCCAGATTTTCAAATAGTTGTATCTCAGCCAAATATTGTCCTATCCTAACAAACCATACATCAATGGAAAGCTTATTTATTCAGAAATTCAATTTATTCAATTTCCTAAAATTGACCCTTAGGACTGGTTTTGTGGTCAAGGGTCACATATAATATAATTTAAACAACATGCAAAACAATTGCTGCCATGAAATGTAATTTATTTTACATACTAAATTGAAATTATTAACTGTAAAAAAAAATTATCTTGATAAAAAATAAACCTGTAAAAAAAGGATTTATGCTTTAGTGACTTTTTGATTCTGTAATCCTGAAATATATGTTTTTATAGTATTATATGTTTTCGTGCAGCTCAAGCAGTAGGTCAACACCAAGGTTTTGAAACAAAATGTAAATGTAAACCTTGAATGCAAAATAAGATGCTTTTTATAAAAGCATATGCCAAATTCATAATTGTATTTTTCGCAAATAAAGACATTGTTGAAGAAAAGCCAACAGTGCACAGACAGATAAAAGAGATGATTTTGTATGGTAAAGCAGTGAGATCTCTCACCTCCTCTCAGGTCAGCAGAAGCGGCCAGGTAGGCGAAATTATCCAGACTGATCACATCAATGATGGGACTGACCACACGCGTATGATCCTGCAGGAGAACAATGGGTAAAAAGCTTTGATTTATTTAGTGGTTATTGTGTTTCAGGCCAGCTGAATGCAGCAGAAAGAAGGACACAAGCCATGTGTGTCTCCATGACCACCCTGCTTTAAGTTGAATTAGGAGGAAATGCATGAAATGAAAATTCATCTATTTTCCAAATGCATTTTATAGATCTTATTATGAATGATTCATCCACTCAAAAACCATCCAAACAGATTAGCCTAAACCAGTCGTATAATATAAACTAAACTGTTTAAATAAATGAAATGATTTTTTTTCTCAAAAAAAGAGAGGAAAAAATATAGAGAGAAGGATTGTGGCAATCAGAAAAGAGAAAGATGTCAAATTTATGGTCACTACCTCAGCAGCTGTATTGCAAACCCCCTCACAGCAGCTGTATTTTATTGACAAGGTAATAGTGTTATAAATGCACATACAATACTTCAAAAATAAAAAATGCATCATATGACTGTGTAAAGGCTCTGTGGATTTGCAGCATAGCCTGATGCAGAGCTCTAGTGTGTTCTTTGCTACTTTCGCTTGCTGCAGTGCATATACTTGTGCATACATAAAACTATTTTACGAGCATGTAAGCATGCGTATGTCGCATAAAAAAACCGTGTGCCGGGGAAGTTCATATTACAACTGCATAAGAAAATCAAGTGTTTTCAATTAGAGCTGGCGCTGTATGCAAACATGCTGAACTCTGCGCTCACAGCTCGAGTATGTGCGGAAAAGCCTAGAAATCCATCTGCTATACATCCCACCTACAGCAGATTGACATCAGGACACTCAGAAGAAGCCTGTGGCTTGTCAGTTTCTTTTCTTTAACAATAATGTACAGTATGTGGAAAATAATGTGTTTTTTTAACTTTAAACCTCATAAACACATTTCATTACACCAAATACACAAAATAATGTTCTTTTTAGCAGCATCATATGACCCCTTTAAAAAAAAAAAAGTACTGTGAGTTTACCATGGTGCTGTGATGGCATCAAATATTACTGGTACTGAATGATTACAGCTTGGCATTTACATGGTAGTGGTACTTCAAAGAACGCCATCATATTACCATGTGTAATGGGGCGAACGAGACGTGAGGATCCATTTGCAAGGCTTTATTTAGACAGAGACGTGATCATAAAACAGGCATGGGTCAGACAGTGGCACGCAGGTACATTACAGGCAAGACAAAAGAGTATCCAAAGGAAGGCATGAATCAGTCGACAGTGAACATTATCCAGAGAGCTTGACAAGAGGGGAAGTCCAATAACACAAGCAATAATCCAGGCGAGGTGCAAACACAGTCCGAAACAGAAAGGCAAAGGGTTAATCCAAGATAAACAGGCAATAATCAGGTAACACGGGAAAGCAGGCAAGACAAGACTATGACTAGGAA